ACAAGCACTATAGTTATTCCTATATGTATCCTGGGTACATCTTATCTACTACTTCAAATGCCTTTGGTCTCACCTCTTGTTCCAGCCCCTGCTGCATGACAAGTTTTGCACAGGTCTTGACAAGTGTCATGTAAATGTAGCTTGATGGTACCTCTACAAATGCCTCTTACCTCCTGACCCTGTGGTGGGGGGACACTCATGGAACTTGACAGGAACTTGGCGTTGAGCCACTGAGAAGTGTGGGAGAGTTAATATTCATTGAGGTGACTTGATGGGAGCCAATGGAAAAGCACTCCTGCTTCTTCAGGCAGGTTCTGAAATATATTTTATACTGCTTCTGAGAAGGACCCAGCAGTAGTCACCCAGAGGTGGCCAGCTTCTCAACACACCCTTGTGTTGGTCCCCTTACATACTCTCCCTTTCCCTAACTCCTGCTCTCTGGGATCATGTTCCCAAATAAATTTCTTATATTTAGGCCTTTGTATCAAACTCTGCTCCGGGGAGACCCATGTACAACACCATCTTACCAAGGCAGGAAGGATTATTTAATAACAATGTCACACAGCTCCTCAGGAGCAGAGCAGGGTTGCCATCCAGATGGGCATTCCAAAATCCTTTGTTTCATTCTCTACTCTCTTCCATGTTTCTTCTCAGATTCCAACCTCTATATGTCATTTAAAGGCACAGGCCTAGATGGAATCTAACCAGGGAGAGACATTAAATAAGAAAGAAGTCCCCATACCATGCTCACATTTAGAGATCAAAAAGAGGAGGAGCCAGTGAAGGAACCAAAGATGTAGACAGGAGGTAGGAGGAAACCAGACTTGTGTGGAGTCCTGGATTCCAGGTGGAGACGGCACTCTAGGGAGGAGCCAATACTTTTCTGGGCAAGTAGTTACCTCCCTGGCTGGATAAGAAGCGCTTAAACACAGCTGTGTCTGCGCCTTCCCCACCCTTTCCCAGGTCCGAGGGCTTGGATGGGATTTTCCCTGGAATTTTTGGTTCCCCAATAAAAGCCCACTCCCTGGCGTGCTCTCCCTCTTTCGCTAGTCTCTTCTGTAAACCTCACCACCGCATTAGGTGGCTGGAGGCGGGAGCTAGGAGAAGCCGTCTGAAAGCTGGTGTTAAAGGTAATGAGAGTCTGTCTCTTTAATTTAAAACTCACTAGCAATTTCTTATGAACTGAACCTTCTTTCATGAAGCCCGCGCTGGTCGAGAGGCAGAACTGTTGATGGGATGAAGAAAAAAAAATGGAGCCGATGTGCCAACAAGGAGGTCATTGATGAGTTGAACAAGTGCATTTTCAGTGTAGCAGAAGAGACAAAAGTTTGGGGGAAGCAGACAAAGAGAGAACATGGGTGAGGAGGTAGAGAGGCAGCCATTAGGGCTACCAATTCAAGGAGATGTGCTGAAAGTGGAGGAAGAAAGTGGGATAGGAGCTGAAGAAGGGGGTCAAGGAAGAGTTGTTTTTTGCGATGAGAGAGGCTGCAGCACATTTATTTGTTGGAGGGAATTATCTGGTCAAGAGGATTAGATAGTGCAGGGGAAGAAGAATGATTTCAGGTAAAATCCTTGAGTAAGAAAAGGGCTTGGGATGTGGTACACAGGTGCAATAGTTGGCCTGGAATTCAAGAGGAGGCCATCCAGGCATATATCCATCCAGCGTGAAAAAGGAGAGCAGCAGCTCAGGTGTAGAGGCAGGCACCTTGGAAGATCTGATGATGAGAAAGCAGGTACTTTGCATCTATTTTCTCAGCAAAATAACAAAGCAAGGTCATTATTTAATCGCAAGGAACAAAAGGGAGATGCAGGGATGGAGAAGATGTGAAACAGCCATCAGGAAGGTCAGATGATGAGTTTAGTAGAGGAACAGCAGAATTACTGGGCAAGCTGAGTGCCCACTTGAGGTTTGTGGTCAGAAATGTAAAGTACGGCTAGTCAAAAGGGCTGTGAATTCCCCCAGCAATGTTCAGCTACTCAGGGCAGGCACAGAGTAAACAGGGCCCTGGGTGGAAGTTGTGTCAGGGGAGGCCAACCAAAGGGGAAAGGCCAAGAGAGAAGAGGACTTGAGTAAAAGGTGATAACTGTCATGGACCACATAATCTAGCTGAAGGAAGAGGTTAAAAGAGCTCATGGAGCCTTGCGTGGTGGTACACACTTGTAATCCCAGTGGATGAGGAGGCTGAGGCAAGAGGATCATGAGTTTAAAGCCAGCCTCAGCAAGTTGGCGAGACCCTAAACAACTTAGTGAGGCCCTGTCTCTAAATAAAATACAAAAAAGGGCTGGGGGTATGGCTTGGTGGTTAAGTGTTCCTGGGTTCAATTCCGGGTACCAAAAAAAGTGGAGGGCTCATAATAGTGAAAGGGGGCAAGTTAGGTGAAATAAAGGGATGAAGGGGGACAAAGAATAGAGTGGAGGTGGTCCCTCTCCTGAGAGGACCCACATTCTCCCTTGAAAGTGTCCCCTTTTCTCCTTTCCCATCCTTTCTAACAAACTCATCAGGCCTGTTACTGTGGGGTGGGGGGGAATAGAGTGGAGGTGACAGAGTACATGAGCTGAAAATACAGAAAGTGGCGGTTACAGAGGTGGGGGTTGGAAATACCAAGTTATAAACTATGGCCATGAGAGTGGGTAGCAGAGGTTGGAGAACAGTGGTGGTCAACGCCCACGAGTGGCAGGTGTTGGGTGGGTCATCTATGTAGATTACCTTCCTGTCCACCATCTCCAAAACAGTTCTCCCACCCCCTCCATTACCCCTCGTCTGCCTTTTTCCCTTGATAGAGTCTGCCTATCATTCAGCCACAAAGGGCTCATTTCTTTGTCCACTTGCTCTCTTTAAAACAAAAGCCCCTGAAGGATAAGGAAATTTCTCTCTAATTTTTTCCTTAAACTTCAACTCTGAGAACGGTATCTGGTACACAATAAGTGCCAAAAATATTTGTTGGTTGGTTGTGGTGGCACAGGATTGTATTCCCTGAGACTTAGGAGGCTGAGAAAGGAGGATCGCAAGTTTGAGCCCAGCTGGATCATTTAGTGAGACTTCATCTCAAAATAAAAAATAAAAAGGACTGGGGATACAGCTCGTAAAGCACTCTTGGGTTGTGTTCAATCTCCAGTACTGCAAAAAAATAAAAATAAATTGGATGAAAGAATTAATGGGGCTGAGAATATAGCTCAGTTGATAAAGTGCTTGCCTCACATGCACAAGGCCCTGGGTTCAATCCCCAGCACCACGGAGAAAAAAAAAAAAAGTTTCAGGGCTGGGGTTGTAGTTCAGTGGTTGAGTACTTGCCTCACATGTGTGAGACACTGGGCTCAATCCTCAGCACAACATTAAATATAAATAAATAAATAAATAAAACAAAGATATTGTGTCCATCTACAACTAAAAAAAATGTTTAAAAAACAAAAAGAATTAATGAATGTTAAGCACCCCGCCTCCCCCCCAAAAAAAAGAAGAAGTGATGATTGAAAGAAGGACCATAAATCAAATACTAAAGTCTGTGAGTAACAGGAATGGCCTGGAGTATGGTAAATTCTAGAAGGGATGATAACTGGTTGGGTCTGAAGGCAGGGCTGGGTGTAGCTCAGTGGTAGAACTGCTTCCCTAGCATGTGCCAGGTTCTGTGTTCAATCCCCAGCACTGTAAAAACAGAAAAAGAAAAGAAAATTCAGTTTTAGTGTGAAAAGGAAAGAAAAACAAAACTTGGAAATAGTCCTAAGAGCAAGAAGACAGCTCTCTACCTCCAGACACTTTGATATGAGGGGTTGCTGTACACTCTGAAACACAGAGCCAATCCTTCTCACCTCAGGGGCACCAAAGTGAGACCTGGAAGTAGTGGAGTAGGTGTGGGGGGTCTAATAACTAGGGAGCAAATCTTTTTGCAAGTGAAATTGTTTCCAGCTCTCTGTTTTTAACAAAATTAAAGTAGGCAATAATCAAATTGTCAGAAGGTTGTTAAAAAATAATAATAAAGTTATGAGGCATATAACTTAGAAGAAATTCAAAGAGTTGAATGACATCCCTATAACAAAACGTGTTGATTTCCTGGGCTTGGGGTATAGCTCAGTGATAGAGTGCTTGTCTACTGTGTATGGGTTTAATGTCCAGCAGAATAGAAGGAAAGAAGGAAATAACTCATGACTCACAAGGAGAATGATATTGATGTTGAGCCTATGACAGCCTAGCAATAAGTTACAGTCACCTACATATGCATGCACTAATTGGGAAGAAAATTGCCCCAATCATCTCATTAAGGAAACAATTTAGGATAAAAATTTACAATCCCCCCCACCCTGTACTGGGGACTGAACCTAGGGGTGCTCTACCCTAAGCTACATCCCCAGTCTTTTTTATTATGAGACTATTTTTCTTAGTTGCTCAGGCTGACCTCCAACTTGCCATCCTCCTGTCTCTGTGTCCAAAGTAGCTGGGATCACAGGTATGCACAATGCACCTGGCTAAAAGCTTACTTTTTATGTTTAATGGTTGCTTATAAAATTTTAAAAATTATTAATGTTGTTCTGGTCAATTGAATATTAACTATCATAATAACTGAAAGTGTGATAAAAATTTCTAACACTCTGAATTTTATGAACAAAGGAAGTTTTCATTGCAAGCATAAAATCACATTACATTAGCACCTGTAATCCCAGAACTCAGGAGCCTGAGGCAGAAGGATCATAAGTTCCAGATCAGTATAAACAACTTAGTGAGTGCTTGTCTCAAAATAAAAAAAAAAATTTAAAAGACTGTTGCTTAGTGGCAAAGTTCCCTTGACTTCAATCCCCACCCCACCCCCGCCAAAAAAAATTACATTAGGATATAATCTATGACAGAAGTGAAATGGAAAGTTCATGGAGGGAAAGGAACAATGTAAGCTTCCCACTGTTAAATAATTAGTTTGTACACCTATTCTTTTTTAATGGATAGTGAAGGATATAGAATTGCTATGGCATTTAGACTCCATATGATAGCTAAAAGAAACTTGCCAATTTTTTATTTTAAAATGTCACAATTAATTTTTCTTTGAATTTTAATAATGACTGCCATAGGGCTGGGGATGTGGCTCAAGCGGTAGCGCGCTCGCCTGGCATGCGTGCGGCCCGGGTTCGATCCTCAGCACCACATACAAAGATGTTATGTCTGCCGAAAACTAAAAGAAAAAATAAATAAAAAAATAATAATAATAATGACTGCCATAGATTGAAAAGGCACATATTTATAAGGATATTCTTTGGAACTATTTAAACTTGTGTTGAAATTTTTAAATGCCAACTTAAAAAATACAATAGAGTATTTAATGTAAAAAATCTTTAAGGGAATTTGAAGGTGACTAGCTGGGTGGGGAGTTAAGAATCTCAAGTCTCAAGTGCCTAACCCCACCCCAAGGCCTCTGGAGGTACATCTGCTGTACAGGGAATCTTTGATGTGGCTTCAACAAAAAACAAAAAAACAACCCTCAGCAGTGTGTCCTGCCCTCAGGCTCTGAAAGCCACAGTCCTGCCCACCCCACTCCTGGCCTGGCCTGCTCTCAGCCCCCTCCCCAGGCCTCAGCCCCCCACCCTATCCCTTCTAACTCCCTCCATCCCTTCTAAACCCCCCCTTCTCTCGCCCACCCCAACCCCTCCCACTCGCCTGAGTACTGATGGCCCGCCACCTCCCAACCCCAGCCTGTCCAGCCCTGGAGTAAATAAACCACCGGGCAAGGACCCAGACAATGGGCCTTGGCAAGGAGTTAATGGGCTGGGCCTCTCGCGTTAGCCGAGTGTGACCGGAGCTGGCAGGGGGCCTGGCCTGGCGCCAGCATCGATTACGACTAGACGGAGCCAGGACAGACTTGGCAAGGCTCCACAGCTGGCAGATCCAGTCACCCTGGCCAAGAGGGCATGAGGCCTGCCCTGGGCACCCACTGCCACCCGCTGGCTGTATTCCTACCACCACCATTATTGCCTGTGGGGAGGGCTCCCTACTGGGCCCCCAGACCCTGGGCTCTGACTTTAGGCCATTCCCAGGGGACTGTCCCTGATCAGGCCTCTTCCTGTCCCAGGCTGTTTGGAGGCTGCTCTGTGACCCCCATAGGCTGGGAGATGGGGGATGGGCAATGGCCTGCAGTAAGGACAGAGGAAGGCTGCAGGGCTTGGCTGGTGTCTGTCAGCAGGAAAAGCAGATGAAGCAGCCTGCACTTCTGGTCTCCAGATTGAGGATGAGGTTGGGTAGGGGGCTTTCTTTTCCAGACCCTCAAAAGTCCTGCTGGGCCTTTAGGCTCTACTCAACCTCAGCAACTTCACCCTGAAGAGGAATTGGGAGGGGTGGCCTGGTGCCAAGGAGGCTCTTGTAAACTGTGCTTCAGAGAAGCTGTTCAGGTGGCAGTTTACATTGGGGCTTGCCAGGGGCAAGGGCTCCTCCTTGACTTTGGAGTTTACTGCTAGCTCCCAGTATCTCCTTGGTTGCTCCCCTAGGAATGAGCAGCTAGTAGCTTAATTCTTTATCAACAGGAATGTCTCCATCCTAAGATTCTGAGGAGATCTGTGGCCTCCCAGTCTTGCTGAGCAAAGATCTTGCTTCTTTGACATCAGGAAGACGGATCATTCTACCTGACAGTCTCTTGATATTGTAAACAGAATATCCCACTGAAGGGAGAAAACAGTAGCAGACAGCCCTTGTTTTCTGAGGCCACAGGTGGAGAGGGTACTCCGGACCAGAGTGGTCTAACCTGTTAGAGCCTGATCATCCTACCTCTTCAGAGCTGCAGAAGGAGAGATGCATCCCCTCCCGGCAAGTTATTCCTTCTCCTCACCCTCTTTACCCTGAGAGGGGAGTGCAATAGGACAGAGAAGGCATCTGAAATCAGGAGAGGAATGGCAGTTATCTTTCCTGCAGGCTGCAGGCCCCCTCTTCACCCTTGATCTCCCTTCTTTCCTCGTCTCCTTTTACTTCTTTTGTGAGCTCTGTTCTCAGAGGGAGTTTGATATGTGTATTTATTGACAGGCTGAGGGTAGGTTGGGCTTGGAGTGGATAGGGAAAATGTGTAGCCCAGACAGCAACTCTAACAACCAGGGAGTCATGGGATCCACTGTGAAAAACAAACCAATGGCAAGTAAGACTAGGGATTTGAACTGTCCAGAACAGGTACAAAGGATGAAGTTTCTAACAAAGAAATATTGATATTTGGTGGAGAAGTAGAAATACAAGCAATTTTTGCTTTTCTCACAATACTTACTTTTTTAGTGTCCTTGAAGGACCTACAAAAATCACTTTGGTCGTTTAGGAACATAAAACATGCTATGCATAACTTGGCTCATAAAATTGTCACCTTTGTTATATAGTTTCAGAGATGTGAAGTCCTGTCTGAAAGTTAAAAAAAAATGCTATTTTTACAGACAGTCTTTATTTCTATCTAATACCTTTAAGCACCAAAAGACCCTTCAGGGAGTCTGATTGCCCCTCCCCTTGCCTTTCACATCTAGTCTGGACTCATCCTTTAGATGTCTTTTTACAAAGGACTCTTCTCACTAGATCAGCTCACACCCTAACCCTTATGAACATTGGGTTTGTTTTAATACTTGGTTGTTACCCTCTTAAAATTCCTCATACTTTTTTTTTTTTTAAACAAGGGTCCACATTTTTCATTTTGCATTCAGTTCCACAATTCAGGTAGCTGGTTCTGCTCATAGCTCTGCCTAAGGCCAACATTGTCCTTCCCCAGCCCTTTGGGCCACAGCTAGGCCTCACCAGTGTCATCTCTCCAGAACCCAGGATGCCCTTGCCCTTGGGTAACTCCAGTTTCTCCTCAGGCCCCTGCAGGTCTGGCTTGGGGCTGCCTCTGACAGCACATCTGCATCTGCTTCTTACATTCCCCGCTCCCTTTCCCTGTGTTGACTGCTGGGAGCAAGACAGCAGAACAGTGTGGCTGTGGGTGTGAGAGGAAGGCTTGCTTCTCACCCCAGCTGCAGCTCCCTGAGAACATGCATACCTCAGGCAGGGCAGAGCGGGAAGCCTTCAAAGGAGCCACTCCTTCCTGACTGCTCCCTTCGCATCCTGACCCAGTCTGATGGTGTTTTTGCAATTTTCCTGTCAGCTTGGTGGGAGAAGTTCAAAGAGCTTCTGTCTTCCTTTCTGACTTCCTCTCCAGACACGCAGCTTTCTCTGCTGCTCCCCTGCCCCAGGTCTCTCGAGGAAACTGATTTCTATCCTCCCCTTCCCACCCCCTAAAAGGTCTGTTCTTGGGTGTATGTATCCTGAAAGCTGGAGAAGTGTGGTGTCATCTGAAGCACAAGGGGAGGCTGCCAAAGCCTCTGTGGGGTTGGATCCTCAGAGGCTTTGGGAAGGAAAGAGCTCCTGGAGCAGGAATGGTCACCAATCTTGAAAGAAGCTGATGGATAGTTCATAATTTACTCTCTGGGACATGCTTCCTAGTGGCCTGTGACAAATGAGAATTTGTCCTCAAGGCTGTCTCCATAGTGAGGAAGCTTAGTTGCCGAAACTATTCACTGGGAAGAGCCTTGGATCCTAGGGCTCTCTGAACAGGCCTCAGAAACAAGAATGTGTGACAGTTACTTCTGTCAAGCTGTCACTCTCTCAGATTGGAGTTTTCTGGTTGTCCCAAGGCATGAAGTGTCACTCAGCATCATGCTCCCTCAATTCTAACTACCCCAGAAAATCCAGCACCTCTCCTCTACCCTGCTCTCTTTCCTCTATTAAACATGTCCACAGGACCTGGAGGTGGAGGGACCTTATAGTCCCCTGCCAGGTCTATACACCCACTGGGGGGAGTTTGCCAGTCCCAGAAAGAAGCAGGTCTCCAAGTCCACCCTTTCAGAGATGGGATTAACTAGGTAGGACTATAGGCAGGCCTAGTAGACCCCAGAGCTAGCCAGAACATGATCTGAAAATCTAAATCCCTCAAGAGTAGAGGGGCTGGTTTTCAGAGAAGCCCCAACAGTAGCCTTGTGGACAACACTCAGAAGGCAGAATAATAATCTGGGCTGCAGAGAAAGGGGGCTCAGGACTGTGGGGCAGGAAGAGGGCAGAGGACAAATGAGTCAGCAAAATTACTTCTCACCCCCCCTCCCCAAAGGAAAGAAGGGGGGGGGGATGGAAATTTCCATCAAGAAAAACTGGCAGGATGCTGGGTAAAAGTTGAAAGGCCAAGAGATACACAGGGCAGGAAAATAACATCATCCAATCAAAGCAATTCACCTTGAGTCTAGTGATAAAAGAAGGAAGGGAAGTGAGTAAGTGCTGGGATTTTAGTCATTTTGGTCAACTGTGTGACCCACCAGTGCTGGGGATTTCCCTCATAGAATTAGTACAAATGGACTCAGAAGTATATGCTATTACAGAAAGAGCACTAAGTGAGAAATAGAGAAGCCCAGGGAAATAATTAATGACTTCATGTTCATTTGACCAAAGGGCTACTGAAGGAGATCTAACTCCTGCCTTAGTTAATATCCATCTTTTTGATATTTTAGATCTTCAAGCAAATGTCAGTATCAGAACAGTGATTGTTATGTGTAAACGACTACTTTTTGAGTAGGGGGTGGACTTTAGGTAGTTTCTTACTTCAAATACATGTGCCAGAATGAGTGACAATTAGAGCAAATAATTATTTTTGAAGGGAAACAATTTTAAAAGAAGAAAAACAAGAATCAAAACACTTGGGTTTTGTGGTGGTGGTGGTGGTGTTAAGGATTGAACCCAGGGCCTCAGTCTTCTGAGTCACTGGGATTATAGGTGTGCACTACCATGTGAAAAGTTTTATAAGCATAAAAACAACAGGAGTTGCTTGATTAATTTGACTATATTTAAAAAAAATAATTTATGCCAGGCATGGTGGCACACACTGGTAATCCTGGTTTGGGAAGCTGAGGCAGGAGAATGCAAGTTCAAAGTTAGTCTCAGCAATTTAGTGTGGCCCTAAGCAACTTAGTGAGATCCTGTCTCAAAATAATATAAAAAGGGCTGGGAATGTGGCTCAGAGGTTAAGTGCCCCTGGATTCAATTCCTAATAAAAAAAAATTTTTAAATTGTGCTGGGCACAGTGGCACACAGCTGTAATCCAAGCTATTTGGGAGGCTGAGACAGAAGTTCAAGGTCAGCCTGGGTAACAACAAAACCCTGTTTCAAAATTTTTTTAAAAATTAAAAAGGCAAGGATGTAGTTTAGTGATAGAGCACCCCTGGGTTCAATTCCTAGTAGCACACACACAAAAAAAAGATTGAAACTCATATAAATGAAATTAAAAGACAAATAATAGCTTATAAAGAATTATATAAATCCCACAAGTTGAAAGAACCAAGTACTAAGAAAGAAGCAATTTATAGAAGAAATTATGGCAATTAAGTATTTAACAATTTCTTATTCTTTTGGAAAATAAGAAAGTGTGAATTAAGCAATGAAATATCCCTTTTCACTCAAAATGAGTAAAATAAAATGTTTCAAATGATAAAATTGCATTCTCCATAGGTAAGACACTGTAAATGAAAGTATGTACTGGAACAGACTTTCTAAGACAATTTGGAGGCAGATATCAAAGACTTTTGAGAAATGCATTCTGTTTGTGACCAGAGATAGTAGCTATCCACTGATTACGTTCCCTTCCACAGTATACAGGCAGTTCTAGGAAGTGGGAACCCAGCCAGGGACTATATTCCCCAGGTCCACTTGAGGTAAGTACCATACCATGTAACTAGCCCTCACTGATGGAAGATGAGTGGAGGTAGTGTCACTTGTAAGCTGAATGGTTAAGAAGCAGATGTACTTAGTCAAGCATGGTGTCATATGCCTATAATCCCAGCAACTCAGGGGGCTAAAGCAGAAAGATTGCAAGTTTGAGGCCAGCCTCAGCAATTTGTCAACACACTGTCTCGAAAAAAATAAATAATTAAAATAATTTTTAAAAAAGATTAAAAGGGCTGGGGAAATAGCTTGGTGGTGTAGGGCCCCAGGATTTAATGCCCAGTATGGAAGAAGAAAGAGAAGGAGAAGGAGAAGGAAGAGGAACAGGGGGGGGGGGGTGGGGAGGAGACGATGATAATGATGTAGCTTTTCTACCTCCTGTTTCCCTATTTATAGTGGTACATGCCAATGATGGCAAAGTAATAAGTTAGAAGGAACCTGGGTCCCTGAATGACCATGTTGAAATCTATCCACCACACTCTTATTAGATAGCTGAGTGAGAAACATAGTTTTATTTGGGGCTTTGTCTATTGCAGCAATTGATATTCTTTACATCTACTACCCAGAAATTGCCCTTATAGGAATATTTCCTAAAGAAATAATCAGAGATGCAAAGAAGATAGGACCCAAGAACAACAAATAAAGCCTAAATGTTTATAATCACAGAGCATGCTTCAGAGTGCTCTGGAACATGGGAATGGGAAGTGACCAATTGAGAAGAGAAAATAAATCAGGCAATGTTTCAGTAGTACAAATACTAATAGCTGTGATGGGAATAAGGAAGAACAGCAGATGAAAAGAAAAGGGGAGGGGAATAAAAAACTGGTCTGCAAGCCTTGTATTTAATAAGTATATAAACTGAACCATTTGTACAAACATTTTGGAACAGAGTGGTGAATGGATCCTGGCATGGAAATATTTTGTTAATTGTGATCAGCTTTTTCTTCCTAAGAAATCTTCTGACATATAACTAAATTTCCAAGGTCTCTTTTACCTTTTAAATCTCCAGCCCAAGTACCCTAACATTGTTTTTTTCATAATTATAAAGTTTTTCATCTCCTCTTTATTACTGATCCTTCTCACCATTTTATCCAGCCCCAGGCAGTGATGGTCTTACTAGTCGGGTAAGTACCACTATTAGAGGTATATTAAATATATGGCTGGACACAGTAGTGCACACCTGTAATCCCAGCAACTCAGGAGACTGAGGCCTTAGGGTTGTAAGTTCAAGCCTAAGCAATTTAGCAAGACCCTGGATCAAAATAAAAAATAAAAAGGACTAAAGATATAGCTCAGTGGTAGAGTAACCTGCATTTAATCCCCAGTACCACAAAATATATATGTTTGTATATTGCTTATACTTACACATTACTTTCACATATATTTTCACTGTTTTATATAAAATAATCCCTACTTCAAGCAGCATGGTCTGAACTGTCAAGTCTTCCATATACCAGAGTTGATTTTCAGGGTTCTATCATTTCATTTTTTGAAATAGCAACCTCAAATTAATTGTTTTAGTCAGGAAAAGGTATGATATGCTGCAGTAACAAATAACTCTCAAATTCCAGGGGACAGGGGCTGGAGTGGTAGCTCAGTGGTAGAGCACTTACCTAGCATGTGTGAGGACTGGGTTCAATCCTCAGCACCACATATAAATAAATAAATAATAAAGGTACCTCAACAACTAAAAAAAAAATTAAAAAAGAATTCCAGGAGACAAAAAAAGTTTCTTTTCTCTCACATGCTACATCATGTGCATGCCAGGTTGGCCAAGGGCTCTCCTCTACATACTCATTCAGGGACTTAGGGTGACAAAGTTACATTATTTCCCTCCCCCATCAAATCCAGGGCCTCAGGCATGATAGACAAGCACTTTACTACTGAATTACATCCCCAGCGCTGGTTATTACACCCTTTTGTAAATCACTATTAAAAGAAGAGGCCTCTTCAATCACTGAAGAAAAGAAAAGAAAGCTTAAAGAATGAAATCCAGGGGCTGGGGTTGTAGCTTAGTGGTAGAATGCTTACCTGGCATGTTTGTGGTACTGGGTTTGATCTCAGCACCACATAAAAATAAATAAAATAATAATAAACTTCCATTAACAACTAAAAAAATTGTTTTATAAAAAAGAATGGAATCCAGTATTTTCTGCCTTAGGCAGAAATGACGACATAATTTCTGCTTAATTTCATTGCTTAGAACTTGTCACATGGTTCACCTAACAGGCAAGACTACAATGTTTAGTGTGTTTCACTGTCTCTGCCTTAATTACCACTGCTTTTATCATCCTGTCTATCATTTCCTCTCTGGCACTGCCTGTTTTCTACTTATCTTTGCACACAAATGATAATCTAACTTTCTGAGATTACACTAGGATAAATATTGCTGTCCTGTCCTCCTCCCATGCCCATTAGACCTTGCTTGTTGGCCACTACCCTCTTTTCTGTTGAGCCTGGAAAGAACAACAGAATCCTTTTTAACCCAGGTAGCTGCAGTTTGTCAATGCTATCACTAAAGATGAAAATTGTTTGTCATTCTCCACCTGAGGAGTTTCTCTGGACTCCAGGACACAGAACTTTCTTGGTTCCATCTTCAATACTCCCTTGCTCATTTTTGTATTGTTCATGAATTGTACCTAATCTAGGAACTCCAATGTTATTAGCATTTTTGGGTTCTGGTATTTTCCCTTCAACTTCTACCACTTTGATCAGGGTAAGAACAATCAAAGGAAACCTGACTTCCTTCACAGCTAACATGGGCTACTACCCATAAACTGAAAGAAAAGGAATCTTTAGGCTACAAACAGAAACATAAATGCTTCTCAAATATAACTTTGAAAGAGCAGCCCGACCTCTCTAGAAGTCTCCTTGGTATCAAGAGCACTCCTCTATGCCAACGAAAGGAACAATTTTTTCCTACCCCCCTGTGACATGAAACAAAGAGACTATCCCTCATTTAAAAAAAAAAAAATTCCTGCTGGGTGTAGGGGCTCACACCTTTAATCCCAGCAGCTCAGGAGGATTACAAAATTGAGTCCAGTCTTAACAACTTAATAAGGTCCTAGGCAACTTTGAGACCTGTCTCAAAATAAGTAAATAAATATAGAGATAGATAGATAGATAGATTGATAGATAGGTAGATAAAACAAACGGCTGGGGATATGGCTCAGTGGTAACCCTGGATTTAATCCTCAGTACCAGAGGGAGAGAGAGAGAGATTGATTCCTCTTTAAAATTAAAGAAAGAAAGTATCAACTTTCCTTATGAGTTAAAGAAAGTAGGATCTCCTAAGGAAAATCCAGAATGTTCTGCCTCTCAGCTGTTAAAACTCTGCTCACCATTTTGTTTCTCACAAGTTTTTTACTGAGCCCCTGGGTTCTCCGGTAAGAGATACTAGGCTGCTGGCTTCCTTGTATTTTTTCCTCTAAGCCATTTCCCCAAACTCCTCAAAAGTCCTCACGATATACAAAGTGAAGATTTGTTCTCTCTACACCAATAGTCAAGAAGTCTCTCCTGACAGAAGTTTTCACTACTGTTGCTGTTTGGAATTGGCTCCACAGACGTAAACAGGGTCATCTGGGGCCAAAGAGGGTGGGTGTTTAGTTTTAAAGCTCTGGGGTTAAGAGTGAAAGCATGTGACTTCAGCTCCGCCAGAAACAGAGAAGCCTTTGTGTGCAGAGAGTAAGCGGCAGTCCTGAGGCTAAACACAGGGGGAGCGGGAAAAGAGAACGCTGACACAGGTTCCAGGGGCTGGTAGGACACCAGAGAGAGAGAGGTTAACTCTTTGTTTTGAGCTCCTGGGCTTCCAGAGGGAGAGCTTCTGTTTGTGGTTCACAGTAGAGCAAAGCACTTACAAAATAAAATTTTTAAAAAAGGAGCTTGCAAAGGGACACATGTACTCCTACAGCCAGCCTTGAGATGAGAGGCACACCAAAGCAACTGGAAGCAAGAGCAATGTCCAAGGTTTCCCTTGTGTAAAATTTTCCATAGTACTTCCTTAGGTCCCCACATCTAAACATCGCAGGCTGGTCCAGTTTCCAGTGGTAGCTGCCCCCCCCCCCCCCCCCCCCGCTCATCCCCCTCCCCTTCTGGGTGAACTGGAGAGGAGAGCGGCCAGATAGAACCACACATCCCCCTTGTTCCTCCCTCTCAGGAGTGGGAGGGAGCTGGTTGGCAGGCATTGCCAGAGGGAAGCTGCAGCCTGCCTGGCTGCACCCTCAGGCACCAGGAGCCCACTTCCACCATCTTTCACCAAAGTGCTTGGCCCTATGGACACTTGGTGAGCTTGGACTTTGTTCATGGCCCACACAAAGCAAGGCAGGTTGCCCACTATCCAGCACTCTTCAAAGCTTACCTGCCCCAGAGGCCAGCATGCCCTTTCCCCAACCCCACCTCAGCCCAGAAATCCCTGCACCAAGACTTATTGAAGTGAGCTAGTCAAATTTCCTAAAAGTTTGCAGACTCTGACCTTTAGACTTTGGAGGCAGGAGGAAAGGAAACAAGGCTCATTTTGCCACTCAAAGACTGGTCCAGCAGGACTGCTCAGGAGGAGTTCCAAAGTGACCACAGCAGTGGATGGCATACCTTGCTGGACTTGACGCTATCAGCACTCATCAATCTTCCCTCATGACTCCTCACTCCTTCCTTCCAAAGATTTCTGAGCCTCGTGTCAGAGTCAAGTTCTTTGCTAGATAGTTCTTCTGGTGAATCAGACAGACCAGTCACTGCCCACCAGGGGCCTTCAGTCTATCCAAACTAAAAGCAGAGAGCTGCTCACATGACAATGTCCATTGGTGGTCAAGAAAATAGTGACCATCTGTTGTGAAAGGGAAAAGGGATATTTGCTGGTCCTTAATGATATAAAATCCTGTCATACAGGTGGTTTTCAGTTCCCCTAACTGATGATATATCCCCAGTTCTTCTCTGCATTTTAGGGAGGAATCATCAAAATTATGCATCTGGAATGGCTATGTGCTGCAAACATTGGGTTAGTACTGAAAGCCTCACAACCCCAGCCCTACTAGATTCAGGGCCTAATGGATTTTTCTGGGGCTGCCATTTAGAATAGTACCTAGCCCACTTGAGTGTGTGTGTATGTTTCCAGTATCTTTGCAATGAGTGCCTGGGACTTGAGGGCATTTTGGCAAATGTAATGGTGTGTTAGCAATGAGGTTGCCACTAGGCACTGAACTCTCTCCACTTCAAAGATAAAATCATGGGGCAGAACCCTGGGCTCACTCAGGTAAAAAACCAAGAAGCTTTTATCAGGGTTGTACATTTCTCCTGGGCCTCTGCTCTGGATGTCCCAGAGCTACTGACCACATTCTCCTACACCTCCAAGGTCTAATTGCTTCCACCAGCTCATTCAGCACGAACCTGGAGACTCCTTGATCAGAGATCAGCCCCCTGCAGAGTTTGTGGGAAGGCACCCAGGTTCACTGCCCTTTTTAAACTAAGATAGAAGGGCTACAAAGAAAACAGTGGACACAAATACCCTGTTTGCACTAGGGTTGTGGCCTCCAAAAGAACTAGACTATTGTCACAGCTTCAGTCTCTGAGTGTGCTGACGGGAAGCGTGGGTCTCTGAAATCAGGAATACAGTACGATAAACATGAGTCTCCAGAGATTGCACCATTCTCCCTCACAGGACACAGAGGCAGCTCCTTAAAATATGAAGAAAGTCATGAGCTTGCTTAGGTTTCTAAGTTTATTTCAATGCTTATTCTTTCTCTTATTGCTTTGCATAAAACCAGTAGTCATTAAATTTCATGACCATGTGACAGATTTAGATATTCAATTAATTGCCTGAATTTTTACACACGAATTCTTAAGTTTGTGCATGTTCTGTGCCTTTTCCTGAGAAGAGATCGATCTATTGTTTCAGGAGAAGCAAAAGAATTCAAGACTGAAAAAAAAAAAAAAAACCTGCTGGATAAAATGGTGAACAGGTATGCTGACAGATGAAGACATTCAAGACCAGAGAAGTAAAGTCACTTCTTTGCCCCAAGTCATTTAGCCAGTCAGTAATAGAGTCAGCTTAAAAATTTAAGTCTCCTTTGTCCTAGCTAAGCGGGTTTTCCACTTACCCATACCACCTGGACTTCTCACAGGATACAATTTTCAAGACAGGGACTCTGTTGCCTGTTTCTTTTGAATCTTTGTACTGGGTTTAGGGTGGTGGCTTGCCCCCACAGCCAGTGCCATTGACTCATTCAGTGGACCTTGTCTTCTCAGACAGAGTTGGTATTCATTCAACTGCAGGGTGGCACAGAGCCAGGGGGCCTTTGAATTGCGCCGGTCAGGCCATCACCAACACCACTTACTCTTACCACCCTCTCTAGGGCAATTCCAATTCTACTTCCACACTGAGCCTTCCCAGTTGGGATGGCAAACATTTCTCCCAGGAAGCAGAGGATTAAGGGCAGAGTGGTTGGGGTTAGTGGTTCAAAGGAGTCTCATTTCACACAGGCATTGGTTCCAAGACCTCCTGTGAGGCAGAAATCACAAAAAGTGAAAATTGTCCTTGAAAATCCTTTACAGCACCCATGAAGTTCAACAAGCAGACCGGCTTCTCAGGACATCCCAGCCAGCCAGCTTTTCCTTCTGTTGCATCAGTTGAGCAGCAGAGGAAAACCCTGGTTGGCATTTAAACCCCACCAGACCAGAGAAACTTATCTTTGAGTGTGATCAGATGCTGGTGTGCTGTGAGGCCAGGGAAGGGCTATCATGCGTGTTCCCTTACACACTCCCACCAGGCACCAGTTGCTTATGGAATGAAGGACGGGAGTGCTGTGTTGCATCACTACGTATCAATCAATCTCTCTCTTCCTCTTCCCTCTCAGCTGAAGTGTACAGTAGACTTCATGCAAAGTAAATAGGTGCTTCAGGAACTATTTATTTTACTAGGGATTGAACCCATGCAGCCTCAGCAAGCATTTTGCCACTGAGCTACTCTCCAGCCCAGAAATCTCTACCTTAATAATAGCATCTCATCATACTGCCACCTTTCCTGAATCCCTGATGCACAGAAATTATGAAATAATAGATGTCTGTTATTTTAAGGCAATAAATTGGGGGTAGTTTGTTGTGTATAACACACATAAATAATTCTAATATGATGGGTAGGTGCCTAGAGCAGCAGGCTAAGGAATAATCCAGTAGAGCAAGTTTTCCAGTGGGGCTGATGGGATCAGAGTTGCTTTTAGAACCACCCCTCCCCCTCCAGCAGAGAAGGTGGCAGGTGAGCAAATGTCACTGTGGAAGGTGGCAAGGCTGACAAGAGACCAGTTAGGAGCCTTTGCAGGTGTCCAGACAAGAAGATTTACATTAAGACAATGCAACTGGGTGTGGTGGTGCACACCTGTAATCCCCCATGACTCAGGAAGCTGAGGCAGGAGGATTACAAATTGAAGACCAGCCTGAACAACTTAGTGAGATTCTGTCTTAAACTAAAAAATAAACAGGAATGAGGGGCTGGGGATGTGGCTCAAGCGGTAGCGCGCTCGCCTGGCATGCGTGCGGCCCGGGTTCGATCCTCAGCACCACATACAAACAAAGATGTTGTGTTCGCCGAAAACTAAAAAAAAATAAATATTAAAATTCTCTCTCTCTCTCTCTCTCTTTAAAAAAAAAAATAAAAGAGACAACTTTAAAAAAATAATAATAATAAAAAAAATAAATAAACAGGAATGAGGATGTAGTTCAGTATTAGAGAATCCACAGTACCAAAAAAAAAAAAAAAATGCCATAGAGAAGAGCACCTATCTTCCTAGGTGCTGGAGACATTTCCAAGTAAGAGTAGTCACAGCCTATTCATCCATTGCCTATAAACAATAATCAAAGTAACATTATTAATAACCAACATTGGGGCTAGGGATATAGCCCAGTTGGTAGAATGCTTGCCTCACATGTACAAGGCCCTGGTTTCAGTCCCCAGCACTACAAAAAAAAATAATAACTAACATTTATTGAAAACTTATTATGTCCCCGATACTGTTTACTTTACATGTGCTCGCACATTTAACCCTCATAACAACCCTATGTCTAGGTGCTATTATGTTACAATGGAGGAAATCAAGGCACAGGAAAATTATGTGACCTTCCCAATGCCACACAACTAGGGAGCAGCACAGCCTGGTTCAAACTTGGGCCACTGTGCCCTTACTTTCACACTGTGCTTCCTCTGGACAGATCAGAGAGAGGAAGAAGGAGAGGGTAGACAAGGGTGAGTTCTCAGGTTGCTACTTAAAGTAGGAGCAGATGACTTGCATGAAAGACCTGACCATCACCAGTCACCTACTAATGCCTTATAGGAGCTGCTTAATGGACCCAACTACAACCTAGCATGTGAAATGTAGAATAACATCCGGATGTGGCACCAGGCCCTACTTCTGCCACACTCCAGTAAAAATAAACTTCACTATCCAAATATAGAGTGACTAGCAGTGCCATGTTTTACAGGAGAAGAGGCAGTTGTTTGGCATTAAAAATAGACAAGTTTGGCTTCCTCAAAGAGCTGAGCAAGAGCAGAGCAATTTCCAAATAGCACAGATGGATGGGTTGATACCCCTCAGCTTGACTCAGCTATCGATTGATTGATTGGGGTACTGGGGATTGAACCCAGGGGTTTTCTACCACTGAGCTACATCCCCTTTTTATTTTTTTTATTTTGAGATTAGGGTCTCACTAGCTGGCCTGGAACTTGTGATCCTCCTATCTCAGGCTCCAGAGAAGCTGGAATTACAGGTGTGCACCACAATGTCCCGGCTGACTCAGCTATTTAGAGTCCAGGGCTGGGGGTGTAGCTCAGCAGTAGAGCACTTGCCTGGCCATGGGTTCAATCCCCAGCACTGCAAAAAAAATAAAAATAAATAAATAAATAAATAAATAAAAGAGCTCAAATGTGGCTGGGGAGGTAGCTCAGTCGTAGAGTGCATGCCTAGCATATACAAGACCCTGGGTTCTATCCCCGGTACCAATAAATAAATAGCCCAGACAGAAAATTACAGCTCCTTTTTGGGCCTCAGTTTACTCATTTGTAAAACAAGAGATTAGACAAGATGGTCCAGACTGCAACCATCTGTGGAGGTAGGAGCTGGAGTCCTAAACTGGCCCTCTTGCTCACAACTTGCTGCTGATAGGACCAGGAGTAGTTTTTCCCAAGGGCTTACAGAATTCTGTCAAGAGCTTTAAATTATTCTTTTGAGTCAGACACATTGTTAATCCATAGAGAAATGCAAGCCAGGAAGTCCTGAGATGCTACATGGAGAAAGGAAAACCAAAGCCCAGTTTGAAGGAGGGTAGGTGGGCATGGAAAGGGTGCTAGAGGTCCTTTCCACAATTCAGACTGCCATTGTTGAGTGTCAGCAGTGGGCAGACCCTTTGACACATCCCCTTTAATCTTGCAAGGCAGGCACAGCTGGATTTTACATGGAAGAACTGAAAGCTCAGAGAAGGTTACAAACTTGCTCAAGATCATTCAGCTGGCAGAGAGTGGAACCCTACCAGGATCCAAATACAGGTTTGATGAAAGCTCCATCTTTCCATCTTATGGGGCCTCTGTTGTGCTGCTTTCTTTGCAGTCAGACTTTGCTCTTCTCCATTCCAAAAGGGCAAAGGAAATCATGACAAAAGCAGAGTCTTTGGGTAACTCATGATGCAGTTGAGAAACCACTCAGTGGTCTTTAATTCTCCAATGCTTTCCTTGCATTTTTTTTGATGGGGGGCCTAACGAGGGATTGAACCAGGGGTGCTTGACCACTGAGCCACATATCCAGCACCCCCTTATTTTTTTTAAGACAGGGCCTCATTAAGTTGCTGAGGTTGGCTTTGAACTTGTGATCCTCCTGCCTCAGCCTCCGAAGTCTTTGGAATTATAGGTGTGCACCACCACACTTGGCATCTGCTTGCATTTTACCACATCTCAAAAAAAAAAAAAAAAGACCAGCTTCGCTTTAAATGGTTTTATTAAAAATGGTACCAATTGATGAGGGAAAAAGATACACACATACACATATATGCATGTGAAGAACAGAAAGTCAGATACTCTGTACAAGTTAAAAAATAACAGGTCCCCCTCTTTTTTCCCCTCCCCAGAGCAGAGTGCCCAAACCCCAGGCAACTACCTAGGGATGAATAAAATGCTACATCTCACTGGGTCTCCCCCTGACAGTCCCTGTGGATCCAGGGATGGGGTGGACCCCTAGGCAATGCTCCCAGGTTGGGGAAAGGCACTGTCATCTGCACACTGAAAGGGGTGCCAGCTGGGGCCCAACATATGCACAGCACCTTTGGAGGAGGCTGGCCCAGCTATGGGGAACTCGGCTTTCTCTGGGGTTCTCTCAAGGCTCAGTCCTCAGGGTAACCCCAGGGAGCTTTGAAGGTTGATGGGTTAACTCCTTCCTGCCAGGTATCTGGCCAGAATGGCCTGCCTCCAAGGGTCCTCAACTTTACATAGAGAGACCCTGCAGCTTTCTCCAGCCAGGGCTGGCTGCAGTAGCACTAATTTGCAGAAGCCCAGAAGAGCTGCAGTGACTGAGGACTTGTGCTACTCTGTATTCTCCCTTCCTCGCCTCCCCATCAAGCCCCCAGAAAAGCTCTCATTGGGGTAGTGTGTTCCTTGCTGGTCAGAACAGTGACAGTGGCTTCATTTTCTCGAAAGCTTTGGGCTGACAGGGTCCCTGGCTGGATCATCCTAAATGACCCCCTCCCTGTCATGCCCAGGCACCAGCTGAAATGCCCGAAGCAGCAAGACAGGTCAGCCCTCCAAATAACCTTGTCTCATAGCTCTGGGCATCAACCCACTCCCCTGGGGCGGGGGCGAGGGATGTCACTGAGAAGTGATCTTTCTACCTCAGATGGAGCAAGAAAAGGCAACCAGGGGCAGCTCTGCAGCGGCCCAGTCTCTGAAGCAGGCAAGGCAGTCCAAGCTGAGTCCTGCAACCTCACCCAGGGAGTTAGCGTCTGGCCTCCCCCATCTCCATCTGTGTGCAGCCTTCTAGAAACTCCTCCTGGGGGTTCTGAATTAGAGGGGCTGTTTGGACCCTGAATATTAGACTTCCCTTCCTCCAAGGCATTTCCACACTGAAGAGGTTTCCAGCCTCTCTCCCGCCCCGACCCTTAGCGCTCCACAAAAGTCCCACTTGCCTTCAGCCTTACAGGTCAGGACCCAGGTCGACTCTCCCTCCCTCTAAAACCTTACCCCCTCACTAGAGACAGTTAGGCTCTTGGGGTGGGGGATGGAGCCAGAGGGGCCCAGGCAAGGGGCATCTCCTAAGGCTGGACTTGGGGAATATAAAGCCAATTCTCCAGGAGAGGAAAAGAGGCCAGTCTGGGTTACTAGGCCCATTAAGCCAGCCAGCCAGGAGGAACCTATATATATATTCCACCCCCCCTTCAGGGGCCTCCCTCATCTCACTAAGCCACATCCCCATTCTAGTTTGGGATTTTTGAGAGGCAGGGGAAATAAAAGGGGGTTTAAATTTTGCCCTGGCTGCCCTAGGATAGTGAGGGCATTCCTGGCATGCTTAGATGGAGACCACACAGTGAGACCAATGTCTGCCTGGCTTGATGTTCAGGTGGACTTGTCAAGCTCTGCTCAGTTCTCAGGACAGGCCACCAGGCATCCAGCCTGGGCATGGCCAGGTCTGAAGCTGATGGTCTGGCCTCAGCACCAAGGTCTGGACATTGTTTCTCTTAGCTCAGGTGGAAATCTGCCAAGAGGGGTTAAAAGCTGCAGGTGTAAATAATCGTGTGTGTGTGTGTGTGTGTGTGTACCACTCAAGCACACCAGCAGCCTGCCTGTCACAGCCTTGATCCAGGAGGGGGAAAATGTCCTATACACGTCACAAAACAGTATGGAGACATGCAGAGAAGGCTAGATTTCACAATGGCCAGCATGTCCCAGAGCCAGTCTTCTTATCCATTCCCTGGGCTCCTTATAAGCAGAAACCAATCTTCTTAGCAGACAAACCATGGTACACACCCTGAGAAAATGATCCTGGCCAAGAAGAGGTAATATCTCCAGATCATCTGAGCAGAACATAACAGAGGCTTATACACACAGTCATGAGGTCCCTCTCAGGACCACTGTGGGTGCATCCAGTACCTTTGTGCAAATTAGGAAAGGCACCCCTAACTCTGAGCAGATGCAGCCCCACATCAGAGCACACAGGTTAGAGAGCAGAGTATAGGCTGGATTTCAGCCTCTATCAGCTCCCTCTGCAGGTGCCCTTGCTCAGTGAACAACCCGCCCAACTGTACATCCAGAAGATCAGTTGTCCTTCAACAGTACTGAGTATCTCTTCTCTGCAGAACTAGAGGAGCTTGGGCTCGTTCAGATTTGAGAGTCTACTCTGGACTCCACCAGTATTCTTGAGTTGTCACGGGGTCTTCTATGCCCAGGGAAGTCATCCTTTCTTTGGGTCTTGCTTTAACTTTAGCACCAATGTTGTCTTCTCTTACATATGCAAAAATTATAATTTAATTTCTAGGTTAACAGATTCCCTGTGTCTGCTATCAGAGCTGCCAGACCAGCTGCTTTAAATTCCCTCCATTAGTGCCACAGCAGGGAGAGAAGGGAAGAAGTTCAGAGGCAGCTGTGATCCTGCTGAGTTCCAGAGCTTGCCCTCCTGGCTTGGCTG